TCAAAATCCCTCTTTTAAGTGTTTTTTGATTGATTCCCTTTCACAGTCGGGCACCACGTCATTTTCATCTAACATTTGGTCGAAAGACGATTTATCTTTGCAATAGAAAATAGCTGTCTATGCAGTATTACTTCTGTAGTCTTTGAATGCAGTATTATACTTCTGCGTCAATAGCCAACAGCTATGTAAATAGTGACGTCCCGAAAATGCCATTCCGCTTAATGCGCAAGTGTTGCTTCTTTCAGATTTCTTCCCATACTTTATGAATTGATCGGTGGCACAATCGTCCACGATGGACAACGTGTTTACACTATCAAATGCATTTTGATACAAGTCGATCACCTCGTTTAATTCTGGTTTCTCTTTTTCCAAGTCACATAGATACATGTTCTTGTCTGTGTACAATCACAGTCGTTCCAGGTACGTTTTATTTTTAAACAAAGTCGGACATATATTCAGATCAATATTCACTCTCTAGTAAATCAAGAACCCATTTCGTTTTTCCCAACCTTGTATCGCCAATGATCAACGTACAATGTGGATTCTTTAATACTCACACTCATTTCATTTTAAACTGGATTTAATAAACCAGACTTTTAATCTGCGCGTCCCTTAATACCAAGAACATGTACATGAACAAAGGCCCGGCAGTTTCCGCTTCCCTTTTCATCTGAATTGAGCCACAGCCCGCACTTGTCTTTTAGGTAGTCGCCCATGTCAACGCCTGTCAGATTCAGATCTTTCACGACCGTTATGCTAGTTTTCATGACATGTGGGTTGAAAAATTTCTGTGGGTTCTTTATGACCGGATCTTTGAATAAAATCAAAATGCCTTTTAATCGTTTGATCTATGCTAATGTTTTACAACGTGTCTGATTTATTAATGGCTTGTTTCTTCCACGAGTGAATGCGGTCAAATAAATAATACACATTGCCCTAATGCTTTTGCCTCAAACTCTGTGCCAAGTCGCGATTGGTTACGACTTTATACTATTAACTCGGGGGTCCCAAGCCGAATTTTGTTGAGAAGAGCTTCAAGTGGTGCCTGCAGAATTGCCGCCTGTTCGGTAATGTCCATAGGCTAAAGTTTTAACCCATTTGGTAATATATAACGCTTCGTGTCTAAAGGCGAAAGGCTAAGTTTATTTTGCATGACGGTTAATAATTGATATTTGTCCGATCTGAACAGTTGTTGTTTATTAAAATGTTGTGTCCGTTCAAATAAACAATTTTTATACGTGCCCTGTTTTAGATGTTTTTGAGTTACCGTTTTTGTAACTCCTTTTGCCTTCTTTAAATTTTGATCCATGGTTAAAATCGAGTACATTTTTGGTCGTATACAAATGGCTTTGGATATCAGTTTACCGCCAAATTTGTCTTTCATTTTACCGATGACTTTTAAATTTTTGGATTGTAAAGCCAAAAAAAAACTCAAGCTTTTTGCATAGGTAACCATCTAAATTGTCAATTTGATTCTGAACGAGCAGGCTCTCAGTGTCAGCGTACAAAAGACAAACGTTGTTGCCAAGTTGAGCACGCTTACACCGCAGTAGATCGGCTTATTTAACTTGGTTATTATGCGATACATTTCGACAAATGAGAGATCACACTCTTTGAATGGTTTAGTTGATTTTTAATGCGGTTCAGAAACCAGGTTTTGAATCGATCAGCATCCTGTAGATCTCTAAGCAGATGTCCGTTGATGCGATATCTTAAGTTTTCCATTCTCTTGCCAAATACAGAGTTGTTCATTAATTTGAAGATGGATGTAACCCTTTCTCCGCTTCGATAGCAAATCATTCTGATAGTCCGACAGCCATTCGTTTGGTACCGAGATATTTTCAGGTGCAAGCGAAAAATCGTTGTGTAAATCGTGCAAGTGCCGTGGGTAATCAAAGGTGACCTCGAGCATGTAGCCTTTCAAAGCGTATGGTGAAAGCTTCGCGAAGTACTCGAGAGTAAACTTGGTTGTGTCTTTAACCCATTGAAATTTCCTGATGGGTAACGGTTGACTCATGGCCCAGCCGTATAAGTTATTCGCATTGAGGTACAGTACATGTATGTGAGATGTCGTTTTGTTTGGGTCATAGTCTTTTAGATCGGGATTATTGGCTTTTATGTAACATTTCGCTCCCACGCTCGAGATGCTGCCTCGTTTAGCCCTTTCGAAAAAGAGATGCTTGTCGATGTTTGTCAATAGCTCTAGTTCTATTTTAGAGTGTTTTAATAAAGCATCCCACGACAGGCCCGGTGACCTGTGATAATTGGCCAGGTCTAAACCATAATTCATTTTGCTGACTTTCTGAAAGTTTTCAAATTCGTCTACTAACAACAACGTGTCCGTTTCTACGTAGAGTGGAGTAGTAGTCTTCAAGGTTTTTACACTTAAAACGTTCGCCATACATTTTGGGCTCTTACATATTCTTCTTCGCTTACGGTCTGCTGTTTCAATGAGCTATAAAACGCGTTTCGAGTTGGTAGGCTATTTTCTTCAAATTGGTGGAAAGAATCTATGTACTCGTATGGGTAAACGTGATTGCTGACGTTGCCCATAAACTGAGAGAAACTTTTAATCCAGCAATAATGGTTCGTTTCACCTCGTTTAGAATAAAGTAAATTGATTGGTTCGCCAATCAAGTTTTGTGAAGTATATAGGCACCATCTTTCCCAGTGTAATTCGATGCATGGAATCTGTGAAACCGGTATTGGAAAGTCCACGTTTGTGAAATCTAAAGCACCATCTAATGTGTACGTTGAAGTTCGTTCGTTGTTTATTTTGTAATTATGGTTGGTTGCTAGCTGATGTTTAACATTGTCAGAATATAATTTTAAAGCAGCTCTTAACGCCCAGCAAATGCATTGTTGGTCTGGTTTGTTTAGGACGTTGATGATCGCTGTTTTAACCACCAGTTCTTTAGGCAATAAAAATGTAAGTCGCTCCTACTCCAGTAGGAGCACACCACATTGATGTAAAATGCGACAACTTTGTCAAATACCCATACAGAGTCTCGCTCTTCATGTGCTTCAAAGTCATCTAAATGTCTTGCTATTTGTTCCTTCAAGATGTTTTCGACCTCATGTTCAGAAATCACAGTGTTATTTTTACTAGTAAACATGAAAACACTTTAGTTTTAACTCTGGGCTTTTCTAATTTGAACTGGACCTTGGTTGCAGTTTGCAACTTGTAAGAGCTTATCTCTTTAAACTCGGTCAACGCTTTGTCTTTGATGTACTTTTTGTAAAAATCAAAAAAGTGTACCAAGTCGTCCGCAAAGAAAGTAGGCTTCAGTTTCCAAGTTCTGTAGTTACCTTGAAAGCGTCTTATTCTTCGGATGTTTACCTCTGCGATAGATTCCAGTTTAGTGTAAGCTTTCACCACTTCCTGCCGGAGACTCCAGAATTGGAGACGTATGGTTTATATGCATGGCCGGGGTCCCCGAACTCGGACAAAGGAAACAGGGCCCTGTAACAAAAGACCGTACTCCGAACAAAAGATCAGGCTGCTGCGCATTACCGACGTTTTTCACTCTCAAAAGTGGTGATAATCCAGCCTTCTTTTGAAACTATATACCAGGGTTTGGGGCATTGAGAGCGAGCGGATTACCACCGGGGACAAAAGCGCTCCACCACCGCAGCGATGAGCCACATAGCACCGCTGCACGCTAATCTGGCCCCTATTGAAAAAAGGTCAGCAGTGCACTGAGCCAGGTTCGTGAACAAAAGACAGTTATACAACTCCGCACAATCTGGGCTCTGTTTACAAGGCTGCTGGCCTGGCTGAAATACTCAGGCGTCAATGAAGGTCACCTGTCAACTTAGAGTAGTGCCTAAAGATTACTTTGCGCGGCTACAAATGACCGTTAAATAAAATGATGAATTTTTGAAGGATTTCGAAAACGGAAAAATGATAGTCATGCCGGCCCAGCATCATCAACATGGAAAAATGCCCGGCATGAAGTCGTTAGTAGCAGTGATGAGGTCTTTCCGTAATATATTCCCCTTTGCGCCAGTGGCTGTAAAGGGTATGTCGTTGTCCTGCACTACCTGTAAAAGTGGACGGTAAGATTGTCTCGCGAGATTTTTAAATTCTTGTTGGCTCGCTTGAATCGCTCGTATTAATTCAGGCTTCATATGTTGTTTGTATTCAGCTGGTGGAGGTAATGGAATGTTATGTTGTTTAACAAAGTCGAATAAAAATAATTTTTTAAAGCCCAATATGACAGGGCGACATTGTGATTTGATTTGAGTATTCATGTCTCTATTTATTATATGGGTAATTATAATTTAATTTCAATTTTTATTGAAGCCTCATTCTTCCGATTCAGGGAGAATGGGGTGTTATTTTTTCCCTGGAGGGATGTTTTAATGAATTGGGGAAATCTAGGCCATTTTGTGTGATGTCGCCTGGCAATCTTTTCCCCGGGGTAGGGAGAAATCCTGGGGGTTGCGAAGAGCCCTGGGGAATTGATCCAGAAGTAGGGGGAAATCCTGGCGGAGGGGGGTCGGATAGGTATAGGAGGGTAAAGCTGCTCTGGAACTCTCCTTTGCCTACTACTGCATCCAAATCGAATGCAGTGTCATTTGTCTTCAGAGCTCAAATGCTGTTTTGCCCACATGCATTGTTTGGCATGCACAAGGGTTTATCCACTACGAACATTGGTGAGGGTTCCTCTCGTTTTCTGTTTTCTCTGAATGACGTAATCTACATTCAGAATTCACACCTTGACATGAACAAAAAAAGTCCTTTTTAATTTGTTATAATTGAGCTCTGAAGACAAATGACACTGCGTTTGATTCGGATGCTTCCATATTTATTTGAACAGATAAAATCAGAGAAGACATGTTTTCCTTAGAGGTGCTCTTTCAATACATGTGTATGTCCAGTTTGTTGCCAGCATCATTGAAATGACACTGACTCCTCCAATAGTTTATACATATGTGGAAGCATATCTATTACTATTCTTGGTATATGAATACCCAGCACTTCAAAGTGTACTTACCTCTGCATATTTTGTCAGCTTGGTTTCGATTTCCATGAGAATATCTTCCCTAGCTTCTGACACAGAGTGTAATGTTGCACTTAGGTACTGCAACAAGAATAATTTGTTTTGAATTCATTCCAAACAGACTGCTGAATTACAAGTGATAAAAGTACATGTATGTGTGAGCGATATAAATGACATGAGTGTGCCAAAAATGAAAAGCTTAACTAAACTGTGCTTCTGCCATAACCACCCAACGGAGAACATTGTACTTGACATTTTGCTGAAAGGAATGACTGAAGTAGAACAGGACAGGTAGAAAAAGGATTTCATACATGAAGAAATGAAACAGATACCTACACCAAAGACAGCCCAACTCATTAAATTCATGTACATGTAAGTGATGCTAACCTTTCAATGACCATCAATTTCCTGGATGTCAGCAAACAATTTAATCAATGGGGTTCCAATACTGTTCTCTTATAAAGCCACACCTACATTACAAGTGAAATTTCCATACTGCTCTAGGATACCATTTGCATTGCCTCAATGTAATGGCAGGAATCGCTGGAGGATTTTGAAGGACTGAGGCAGTGGGCACCCCTCATAGGAGCTTATTAAAGAAATATTTGAGGACTTTGGAGGATTGAGGATGAATGAAATTCCTGGAATGGATAATCAGAGGATTTTGAAGGATGAACGCACCTAGCAAAAAGGCTCAGAGGGTTAGGTTAAAATCAGGAGACCTCAGGTCAGATTCACAGGAAAATTTTGTTTAAATGTCCTTGATTAACTTTCCTACTATCCCTTTCTGCTCCAAGAGCAAACAGCGAAGCACACAATGATTTAAATTAGGCATTAATATACATGTACTGCAAGATCAGTGGTAACGGTGGCTTCAGACACTCATAAACAAACTGTGCACAACACCCAAAAAACTCCAATATTTACCTTTGGGGCATCTGAAGACAGAAGTATCTGAAGAATTTCTGATAAGACAAATTAATTTACTGAATTGTTCTTTGTACATACCTCTAAAAATGTAGTGATCTTGCTACTTTGAAATGCAAATCGGGTAAGTTCATCCATTCTTGATGACATCAAAATGCAGTCAAGCTAACCATGAAAAATACAATCAAAGGTACATGAACAGTATCATACATTTATGCAAAGTTTTAAACCCTACATACTAGGGTGTATGTAAAATCGTATTGAAACAGAGGATTTGGGAGTGTTAGGGTTAAGCCAGAGGAGTATCTGAGTGTTTTGTACATACACTATTTTGTTATGCAAGTGCACACAGAAGCAAAGTGATTGTCCATTGGTAAGAAAATGTCAACATCCAGTTTGTAAACCTGCATGAATTTTATGTAGGGCCGTGCTGAGTACTCGGGCACCTGCGATGTGACCACTGATTACGGGTACCTGATTCCATTTTGTCGATATTATTACGGCAACTGCCCCTGTAAATGTCAACATAACATTTCAGAAATGCAAGCACCATTTCCCTTTGCATACTTGCTGGTAAATTGTTTGAAAAAATGTAAGTAAAATATGTTTTGAGTCCATTTAATGGAAAATTAGGTCACAGCTGAACAAAAAGAATCCTCATGACACGCTGCTCATACAACTTACTGTAGGCTGGCCAGCTTTACCTGGCATACTTTGGTCTTTTCACATCGGGATTACTTGTATGCACATTGCATAAAACCAAACTAACCCATAACGGCAACAAATCTTGGCTTTCAAGCTAGCTTGTTTGCAACCAGGACCCAATTTGCCATCATTTTCACAAAGAGACACAAGTCTCTCGGAGAGTAAAATCTAGTTTTCAAGAAAATCACATTTGAAGTTGGTCTTTTTTTTTTTTTACCAACATTTACTTCCCTAGTATGTAGCATTCCTTTGACTTAACTAATTTTACTTCCTGAAAGGTCTCAAGTGATACAAAACTAAAAAATAATATATAGGGTTCCAAGTCAATAAATTTTTTATTTTGTAAACAAATGGTCTTGTCTGTTTGTGAAAATGCTAAAATTTATGTTGCTTGTGTCTCTTCATGAAGACAGTATGAACAGTACATGTGTTTGCCAATGAATGTGCCAGGTGCAAAATTGTTACGTTCACATACATTTCCGCAGTCAACTTTGTCTCTTTGTGAAAACAGTACAACGGCTTTCGTCCACAATTTTGCCCTTTCTTGCTAACACTTTACCTATGAAGACAACTTTACCTCTTCATGAAAATGGTAAGTGCAGTTTAGTTGTAATTTGCCCTATGTTGATCATCCTGATTTGGTTGATTTCAGTAGATTTGGTAAAAAGTGATTACACCAGGGTCCAGGCATCACATAGCCTAGTTCATTTTGGAAACAGAAATTTAAAAAAAATGATTTGGGGCCACTTTATCTCTTCTTGAAAACGGTGACAAATTATAGCCTGCTCACAGGCAATCCATTTGCTGACTCTGTGGTGGCCATGTGACTGTAAAAGTCCTGACTATGCACAGCACATTGCGCTATTACGATGCTTGATCAAACAATGTGAAAGTTTTGCCCCACAAAGGTATGTTTTTAGTGATTTATTGCATGCTTGTCAGTAGATAGGAAACTTTTAGCTGACAACATAAACATCGTAGAAAAATGATAACTCCTGGCAAAACTATACACGTTAGAATTTACAAAGAGATGGAAAAACCAATGTAAAGCAAGTTGATTTCGATTACGTATGTTGTGTGAAAGCCTCCGTGACCTGGAAACTTTTGTCAGCTTGAAATTTGGATAACTCGATTTCTAAGCCATTCCCCTGAGGTTTCGGCTTTCAAGATATTACTGTATTTTATTGCACACTTAGAAACTTACAATGAAAAGTAAGTTGCAAAGTAGTCCCATGCAAATTTAGTTCCTGAACGTGTGCCAGTGAGCATGCCAGTGCAGCACTTGATCCAACAGCTTGGCAGCAGAGTGGGTGGGGACGCGATGGAAACTACTTGACTAACATGTTTTTGTTATATTAAAATAATTTCCAGTTTTATGAAATTTTCTGTTATTTTCCCGTTTTATAAAGTTGATCTTGAGTACATGTACCACTTCCAGTCGATCTAAGTGACCACAGAGGATGCACTGTTTCCAATCAGGAAATATTTGATGATGATATTATAAATTTTTCTTTAATACATATTAAGTGGTCTAAATTTGTGATTTTGATCCAGTAACTTTGGAGCGATTTCATCAGGCGATCAGTATACATGTGATTGTTTATATTTAATGTTATCACTACCTCAATCGCCATTTATCTAGGCTGTGGAATTATGATCCGAATGTATGTTACACATGTATTATTTCAGATGGCATCCAGGGCTGCATGAGCCATAAGCCCTAGTTATTAAAGTGCAGTACTGTGACCTCCATTGCCCTACTGACTGCCCGAGGCAGACAGGCCAGAGGGGGGCTGCAGGCGAGCTGAAACACCGACTGGCACCACCACCAAGAACCTAGCCAACTGTGACACCGCTGACACTTTTCCCGGCTACCTACTCAGACGTTCCGGCGCAAGGTTCAAGCCAATGGTTCAGGCAATGGGGGGGGGCCTTTGATGCAGAAAACATATTCTACTCGCAGTGGGTCCTACACGAATGAGTTTTTTTTTTTATATCATTTCCCGCTTTAGTAAGGTTTCAATAATTAATAGGTGAAGGATTAGCATTAAGTTGACAGCAAAGAATTACATTAACTAATTGATTGTAATTCTTTTTATTTCTTTACAACCTAGAAGTAATTACAAAAACCATTTAAATTTCCTTCAGTTATATATCTTACTTCGTTTTCCAAATGCAGACTATTATAGACTCAATTTCAGTCTCATGTGAAATGCTCCATTATTGACTTTGGTAAATATTTGTAGACACTAATCGATAATTAATTTGGTATTTTTTGTTTTACCATAGTATGTAGTTGTAATTTATATGTTATAATACATTTACTTAAATTTAAGAGAAAATTTATATTTGAATCTTTTGTGTCTGCACGAAGTTGTCTGGGGGAAAACACTGACCCGCAAAAATTCATGCTATGGTAACTTTTGGGGGTAGTTGTGACACTCACATGATGCCAAGTTTAGTCTAGAATACTTGCCTGTGTGGCTGTCTGTAAAGTTTCAACTCAACGGGACATGTACATGTACTTCAGGAGATATAGGGCTTTGAAGTTTACACCGTAAATACCCTGTCATGTGATATCTGATAACGTCATTATGATAATTTTGTACTTGAACCCTCTCTAGCTGGTGGACTAAGAGTACGCACCCAATACATGTACATGTATATAGTAAGTCATACTAGTAAAAGTGCCAAAGTCTAATTGCTGAAAAACGTGTACAAAACATAGGGGAAAAATTAAATATTCAAAATTCTATAATAAATCAGGTGATGAGGTCATTATAACATCATGCCTTGAGAATCACTTATGCTACAGGGTCTATGCTTGTGCAAATTTGACTAAGATGTGACTTTGCAAAGGAGCTAAATTTGTGTATAGAAAAACCCTGTGCAAAATAAATGGGATTTGGCAGTACAAGGAGAAGAAAAAAGCCAAATATTGTAACACAAAGGTTGTTTAGCAGATCCTACAGATAATGCATTTGTAATAAATTTGATAGAAGCTGCCAAAAGTCAGAACTTTAACAGAATGTCCAAGAAGGATATTTTGACAACAGATCAGATAGTATTGCTTTGTGACAAGTACAAAGACACAAAATACATTCTTACACTCAGAGACTTGGCTATCATTGTTCTTTGTTTTAGTTGCTTTTTTAGGTTTGATGAAGCCCAATCACTCAAGTGAAACAATATTAAGTTTCAGGATGGATCAAGATGGATCAGTTTCAAAAAGGGGACGTTGTAGTTATTGGTAAAGGTTACACAAATGCGTGTCCTATGAATATTTGAAATTGTTACATGCAATGCCCAGGGATCGATCCAGGATCAGGTCAATTTATTTACATGTAACCTTTGTCACATGATTTGTGTCTAAACCAAAAAGTTTTTATGAAATAGTACTTGATATTTCGACTCTTGAGTATGTTCCAAATCAAATAACATAGCATAAAGCATACAATTTCCCTTTCATTCTGGGAGTAACCTTGAGCAGAGGTTGAGGATTACTGACTCATCAAGATTGATAATAGTGTGTTGTAGAAAAACGTGTGCAAAACCTACGGGAAAAGGATTGAGGAGGGTTAGGGTTAATCTCATGTCATGCGACCCCAAATGACGTCACTGTGTTGATTTACTTTAGGCAGCATTTTGGGACTACATACGTTCTCAATACCAAGTCACTCAGATGAATGAGTGCACCATTCTTTGACTTTAGAAAATGTGCACAAAACCTATGGAGAAAAACTGCACCTTTAAAGTCAAGTCACATGATCTGTGCTTATATTGAAAAAAAATTACGAAATATTATTTGACATTTGGACTCTTGGGTATATTTGTAATCTAATAAAAGAGAAAATTTAGTCTGATTTCTCTTTTGTTCTGGTAGTAATTCTTGGTAGAAGTTGAGAACTACTCACCCATTTAAGTTCAATAATAGTGTGTAGTACAAAAATGTGTACAAACACTGTGGAGAAAACTGCAACTTTAATTTCATGTCACGTGACTCCTGATGACATCATCGTGATGATTTCATTTTGACAGCCCCATGGATTGATGGACAACATATGCTCCCAATACAAAGTCGATCAGATGTATGAGTGCACCAGTCTTTGATTTGAGAAAACATACACAAAACCTACGGAGAAAAACTGCACCTTCAAAGTCATGTCACGTGATTTGCATTTACCTTGAAAAACATTTATGAAATAATATTTGATATTTGGACTCTTGGGAATACTTGTAATTGAATGGACACAAAACAAAAATGATTTCTCTTTTGTTCTCATAGCAATTCCTAGCTGAAGTTGAGAGCCTGTCTCCTTAAGATCGATAATATTGCGAAATAGAAAGACGTGTACAAACCTATTGAGAAAATTGCAACTTTAGTCTAGTGTCACGTGATCCCCTGATGATGTCACCGGGACGATTTTATTTAACAGCGCATGGATTCATGGGCTACATGT